GATCAACAATGCACCCTCTGCAGGGCCGCCATCAGGGCATGACAACCGTAACGGTTGTCATGGGCCCGGCGGTCCTGGGGGGCCCGGACTGCTCAGGTCGTCCGGGCCCCACATTCAGTGTGTACATACCGGGTCGCAGGGGGCCCTGCGACCCCGGTATGTACCCACAGGGCCAGCCTCTTCTCCTGGGGGGCCCAGCAGCCGGTCACCTCAGGGCCCCCCCAGAGGCTGGCCCTGATGACACCCGGCGGCCGGCGCGCGAGGGAGCACTCTCCTCTGCTGCTTCTTCTTCAGCTCCCTCGCGCACCGTACTGATGCCGGAGCCGGAAGATGACGTCATCTTCCGGCTTCCGGCTCCGCATCAGTACGCGGCACGCGAGGGAGCTGAAGAAGAAGCAGCAGAGGAGAGTGCTCCCTCGGCACACCGGGTGTCGGGGAGGAAGGAAATTTGAGGCTGGGAGGGGGGGAGGAAAAGAAATTGGAGGGAGGGGCAGGGAAGGAAATGGGGAGGGAGGGGGGGGGGATGAAGGAAATTTATGGGGAGGGGGAGAAAAGAAATTGAGGGAGGGAGGGGGAGGAAGGAAATTTAGGGAGGGAGGGGAGAAAAGAAATTGAGGGAGGGAGGGGGGGGGATGAAGGAATTTAAGGGGAGGGAGGTGGAGGTGGATGAAGGAAATTTAAGGGAGGGAGGGGGGGAGGAAGGAAATTGAGGGAGGGAGGGGGGATGAAGGAAATTTAAGGGAGGGAGGGGGATGAAGGAAATCTAGCGGAGAGGGAGGAAGGAAATTGAGGGGAGGGAGGGAGGAGGAAGGAAATTTAAGGAAAGGAGGGGGAGGAAAGAAATTTAAGGGGGCAGGGGGGGGAATTTGAGGGAGGGGGAGGAAAGAAATTTAAGGGAAGGGGGGAGAGGGAAGAAAGGAAATTTGTGGGGGGAGAGGAAGGAAATTTAAGGGAGGGGGAGAGGAAGGAAATTTTGAGGTGGGGGAGAGGAAAGAAATTTAAGGGAGGGGGAGAGGAAGGAAATTTTGAGGGAGGGGGGAGAGGAAGGAAATTTTGGGAGGGGGAGAGGAAGGAAATCTTTTGGGGAGTGAGAGGGAAGGGGAGAAGAAATTGGGAGAGGAAGGGGAGAAGAAGGAAGTTGGAGGGGGGAGAAGAAGGAAATTTCTGGGAAGGGGGAGAGGAAGGAAATTGGAGGTGGGAGAAGGCAATGAGAGGGAAGGGGAGAAGGACATTGGAGAGGGAGGGGGAGAAGAAGGAAATTGGAGAGGGGGAGAAGAAGGAAATTGGAGGGTGGGGGAGAAGAAGGAAATTGGAGAGGGAGGGAGAGAGAAGGAAATTGGAGAGGGAGGGGAGGGAGGGGGAGAAGAAGGAAATTGGAGAGGGGGAGAAGAAGGAAATTGGAGGGTGGGGGAGAAGAAGGAAATTGGAGAGGGAGGGAGAGAAGAAGGAAATTGGAGAGGGGGGAGAAGAAGGAGAGGAGGGGAGAAGAAGGAAATTGGAGAGGGGGGGAGAAGGAAATTGGAGAGGGGAGAAGGAAATTGACGGGGGGGAGGGGGAGAGATTGACATACATCACACACACACACACAATGCACCCCTTGCACACAGAAAAACAAACAATGCATTACACACAGACACACATACATAAGCAATGCATCCCTTACACACAGCAATACACAATGCACCCCTTACAC